TTCAGAATATACTTGATTTTAGGTAAACCCCATTTTCTCTATCTCCCCTTTTTTCGAGCAGTTTGAGTCTTTTTCTTTTTTTCTCTTTCCGATTTCCTGTTTTTATTTTAAGCAACAGATGTTAGGGTCACCCGCATCCTACCATCGGCACCTGCACATCATTCACTGTCCTCGCCACCACTATTCACGATCACTGCTACCCCCAACAACACACATTTGAACCCTAATCTTTCATCTCCCTTCCACCTTTAATGTTTTTGTGTTTCCATAAAGCTTAGTTTTTAGACTCTCCAGCAACGACACCCCATGACGTGTTTGTTGCGTCTATTCAGGTTTTCACATTTTCTGCCCTTCTCTCTAGACATTTCTTGTGGGATCGATTTAGCTTATCGATTCAAATTTTATAATATGAATATTGTGTTTCATGGTATTGTTATGTGGTTTGTAGGGTTGTTCAGTGGGCATTTTAGTGTTTCCCTGGTTTAAATTGTTACATCGGTGGATAGAATTTTAGTGTAATTTAACACATAAATGTAAGATTTCTAAATTTTCATTGTTTATTAAGGAGTTCTTTTATTCGTCATTCAATTTTGAATTTATAATTAAAACGAACTAATTTTCATATCTGGATTCAAATATCACTTCCTTTATGTTTGGATGAAGTTTAGCTGTAACTACTTTGATTCTGAACTTTTAGCGAAAATACTGACGATTACATAAAATGTTTTGAATTGATTTTTTTTTTGGGTTGAATGGATGAATCTAAACCAAAACCTTCTTGGTCATCCTCAAGCAAAATTCAGGGTATTGTTTTGCTTAATAATAAAGATGTTTCCTGATCTTTGCTTTCACAACACATTGTCTTTCTTAAGCAGACACTATGTTAATGTTTAGCAGGTTTCAAAAAGCTTAATATGAAAAGAAAATAATTATATTTTTCAAATTACAGTCTAAATAATATGACCTTAATTTTTTTATCAAAATATAATTCATATAGAGATATAGAGTCTAACTTGTTGTATCTGATCAATCTGATCCTCTATTCAAAAGGATATTTAAATGTTTTAAAGTCATGAAGTCGTTTTACTAAGTTGCTTTCAGTGGCTTGAAAAAGGGTCTTCAAAAATGGTTCATACAATCTATTACGCTCAAGTTTCATTCAATTAGCCAACAGGTCTTTGGACTATTAGTCCTGTCGTTAATAGCGAACATGGACCATTTTACCCCTATAAATAAAAATGGTTAATTACTGAAGTCTTCCATTACTTACATCATACATAGTGTCGTAAACTGTAATCTAGAAAGTTATGATTGGTTGGAATAGTCTACTCCCGTGCTTGAAGGAGTTTCTCCACTTATTGACGGTTTTACCCTTGCCTCACTTCACCCCACAGAAGTCTTCCACTACTTACATCATACATAGTTTTAAAATTAAACTTGAAGGAGTTTCTCCACTTATGGAGCAAGGCTTACTTATGCAAACTCCACGGGCATCTTCGACCACCTCTTAGCTACTGTATCTGTAAAAAATTAAGCATGCACTCCACTAAAAGACAGTTTTTTCATCAAAATTCAGATCTTAATGAAAAAAACAACCCTTTAATGTCAAATCCAAATTTGATATCTAACCTAACTCACAACTATAGAGGCTTTTAATTCCATCTATCTAGCCAGGAAATAATTGAATGGGTAAAGCATTCTAGACGTTGCTTCCATAATATCTTCCTACCACAAATTCACTATATGGTAAAAACAAGACAATAATAGTTGAAGGTAGGTCTTGCAGTTCATCTGCCATAAACAATTGATTGGACCAAAAATTAGATAACTTAAGAGCTAAATACAACACCAAAAGTCGGTAACGAAGAAAATAGACTTGCAATACAAAAGTATTAGTGAAGCCTAACGAACAATTAAAAGGTGATGGAGTTTATACAACAAATGTGGTGTATAAAGAAGTGTTGCACGATTAATAATGTATAATCAGTGATGTGTTATTACACATTTTCATATTTTGTGTATTTTTATATAATTCTATTATTTTTGTTTGAACAGCTTAAACATTTCATATTTTGTACCGCCTTGATCGGTTTCTCTTTATCAATTATTTGATGTATCATATAACAAATAACACCATAGTTTGATTATATTCTCTTTGACATGTACTTTCTTTTGGAATATAACATTTTTGTAAATGAAACATATCACCGAAAGAACTTACGCGTCCTGCCGCTTTGCGCGGGTAGAC